CTACCGATTGAATAGAATTTTATTATAAACAATTGTCTTGTAAATGGAATTTTTAAAGCATTCTGCATTTAAAAATAAAGAAAAAGTGTGCAAGACAATAAAAATACTACCTGCCCCCAAAAAAAAGTGAAGTTTTGTTGAAATCGGTTGAAAAATGTAGAAAATCCGATCTCATATATAAACACACACACACACACACACACACAGCACACACACACACACACAAACACAAAACCTTGGTTTTTATAATAAGTATAACTCGATATGAGTTGTCCCTTTCATTCTTGTGATGCCTCTTAATCATGTTTTCAAATTGATTTTGTGCAAAAACAATTGTGTTTTTTCCAATTTTTGGCGCTGTTAGGACCACTGCAAGGTAATTTTACGTAGTCTTGTGAAGTTTTGTTGAAATCGGTTGAAAAATGTAGGGAAATCCGATCCAATATATAAACGTACAGACACACACACACACACAATCTGCTTTTTTATAATAAGTAATATATATATATATATATATATATATATATATATATATATATATATAAAAGAACATAGAAGTCAACACTTAGAGGCGACAGTCTGTTTCATGCTATATGCAATCGTCAGGCCACATATGCTGTTATTTTTCTCGGCTATTTATATATATACGGATTAGTGGTGCATTGTGGGTATTCTATTATGGCGGTTATTTTACCGGAAGTCGTTTGTTTATTTATTTGGGTCAAATTATATTGCTCGTTTTTATTTTTTGTTTCTTATTTTATTTATTTATTTATTTATTTATTTATTAACGGAGTAAAAATTTGCTTATATCAATTATTTAACAGTTTTGTTTGGTTTGAGAATTTAATTAAAGCTATTTGTTCAATTTTGGGGTTGGTTGTTGTAGTTCATTCTAACTATTATTTTGGCGGGAACAGTTTTTAATTTAGATTGGTTTGTCTATTTATTTACTTAGATGAATTTAGGTCAATTTATTTTACTTGTATATTTTCTCTTTTCGGTTTTAAGCAACATAGTATTTATTTATTTTTTATTTCTATTTTTTTATTAGTGTATTTATTTGTTTTTTTTTATTTTTTTTTTTTTTTTTTTTAGGTTACGTAGTAAAATTTGTTTTCATGCCTGCATTTTGAGATGAGTTCGGATCTTTTTTTTAATAATTTATTTCGGTCGGGAAAAGTAATGATAGCTATTTATTCCTCAAGCAAAGTTTGCAAGTTTTTGATTGGTTGTTGTAGGCTGATGACTTTTTCCTTATCTTCCAAGATATTTTTGGTGTGATGTTTTTTATATATATATATATATATATATATATATATATATATGTGTGTGTGTTGTGTGTGTTTGTGTTTGTGTTGTAATATATTTTCTGTTTATACATTATTACTATAGATACAGTTATTTAAGTAAATGCTTTGTTTATAATAAACAGTATTGATTACATTTATCTGCCTGAATATATATATATATATATATATATATATAAATTCCACACCTGAATGTTGCATTAACTGTATGAAGTCTATTCCAAATATTGAGCAGTATAGTAAAAATCTATTAATTCTAAATTTAAATCTTCTTAACCAATGGGCTCCAGGAATAAACTATTCCAAGTAGTGAACTTTTACAGATTATATTGACTTTATCAAATTACTATTATATATATTTTTAATGGAACAAAAACAGTTCGATTACTCAATGAAAAATATTCCTATATTCAATGTACAGAAATATAAAATTAAAATAGACCGTTTCATAAAAAGAATAAGATGGAAAGTATTTTACTTGCTTAATAATAACAATAATAAATTCGGATTTTCCTCAATTAGATATCTACCACAGCAAAAAGACATTATTGATTTCGAAAATTATTTAATAAATATTGTAAATAAAATCGAAACAAGAAAAAACAACAATAAATTTCAAAAACAATTAATAAATGATATAAAATCAATTTATTTTAAATAAATCAAATAAACTATTTATTCAAGCAGAAGAATCAAGAACAATCTATAAATTTTTTTTATTAGTTTTTTTTATATTCCATAAGTTCTGCCAAATATAAAAATTGATAATTACGGATAAATAGTATTTTTTCAAAAACAACATTTTTTTTTTTTATGTTTATACGTTCTTTTTACAGATATTTAAGAAAATGCCTTTTATAATAAACAGTCCGAGTCCGAAAATTGTCATAAAAAATATGTTTCCTTTGACAGGAATCGAACCTGTATCCTATATGGAACCGTCATATAGCCTGACGTGCTTTTACCGATTTCGCCACAGAGGAGCATTTCGGTTAGCAAGATCGATATTACTGGGTTTTTTTTTTATTTTCTATGATTTTCTCATGTACATTCATATCTGCTCGATGCGTATCCAAATGTAAACAATTGACGCCACACATTATGAAATGGACAAAGTCCGACAATTATTTTAAGACATTTTTTATGTTTATAAGTTCTTTTTATAGAATAAAAATAATTAAAATAATTTAAAATAAATTTTAAAATAATTGTCGGACTTTGTCCATTTTATAATGTGTGACGAATAATTGTCGGACTTGTCCATTTTATAATGTGTGACGTCATTTGCTTACATTTGAATCCAGGATACGCATCGATCAGACATGAATCTACGTGAGAAAATCACCATATGTTAATTACCATATGTTGCACTACAAACGTAGGTATATGTGTAGTTATTAATATGTAATATGTACACACACAGATATATATATATATATATATATATATATATATATATATATATATATACACACACAGAGTGGGAAATAAAATCACAATACAGTTTCTTTTAATAAAAAAGCAAAGCAGTGAAGTAGGTGGCTTGCAGTTCGAACAATATCGGTAATTAATTCAGTATAGTTTACCATTGCATTTTATTGTTATTAACCAGAATAAACCAGAACCATTTTAATAATAAATTTCTGGGCTGTTAATTTGGGCTTTGTCTTAATTGTTATTGTATGTAATTGTATAGTGGCTTTATTGTCACCACATATATATATATATATATATATATATATATATATATATATATATATAGATAGATAGATAGATAGATAGATAGATAGATAGATAGATAGATAGATAGAGATAGAGATATAGATAATAATTTTAGTGGTAAATATATACATACATATGCAAAATATATAAATATATATACATACATGCATACACATACATATATATTTTATCAAAAAAATTCAAGAGGATAGAATCCAGATAGAACTCAATGTCAGGACAGAGTAAGGATATAATAAAAAGGCTTAAACACTAATATTCCATGGTCATAATTTATTCCATTGGAATCGTAAATACGATCCAATTCATCAGACCTACAAATTCAAAAAAAGAAAACAGAAAAACAACTCCGGAAATAAAAAAATAAAATTTAGAGAGAATGTAAGTATGAGAGTGTGGTACGAATGTTAGAGTTATAGAGAGGGTAACAGACGAGAAAGGTGGGGGGGTTAAAATTTAACAGAGATAAGTTTTAGAGGGGGGAGTCAAAGACGGTTTTAGTGAGAGAAATATGAATGTTGTCGGATGTCTAATACATTAAAGATGTAACCGGAAAGGATACATTTTGTGGTGACATACACACACAATAGACGATCTAATCTTAAAGATCAGAAGAAGAGGGAGGGAGAGGAAAAGAAAAGAAAAAGGGGTGGGGGAGAGAGATGGGGTGGGGAAACTAAAATTGAAGGACATTTACTGAAAGGGGCGCTGTGTAATTAAGGAAATTTGACAAAATTAATATCGTCTACAGGTTACAAATCAAATATAAACATTTAAAAAATAAATATAACGATTATCTAATCTAGCAAGGACCTATATTTCTATGCTCAAAAACACATGCGTATGTACACATACACAATAACATATACACGTACATACATACATAAATGAAAGGGAGTTCTAAAGGCGGGAAGTGCACGAAAAGAAACTGTTGAAGTTGAAGTGGCGGTTGAATTTTGGTATTTCAATAGTAAACGGGTAGGACCTAGATGACAATCTAGTAGCAAGCTTAAATTCATATAGTCGAGATACCAGCGGAAAAAATCTCATCAGAGCAGTAGCCATGAAAATATTTGTAGAAAAGTTAAAGGGAAGCCACATCACGTCTGTGAGAAAGTGACTGAAGTCGAGATGCTAAGTCAGAATCGATTACATTCCAGATCCTTCTTTCAATTTTGTCAAAAACCTCGAGGTGAATGGCAGGAGTACCAGACCAGATATAACATCAGTATTCAATGCACGGACGAATGGTAGATATGTTAGTGTACAAGATGGACTCTAACGAGAAAAAATATTTTATCTGATATCTATAAAATCAAATCCTGGTGTCAAACGTTATCTTATCAGCCATGGGTACCAAAACAATATGGAAGGCATCACAATGCGATGGGCAGCTCTTATAATAAGCAGTGACAATCACCATATATATATATATATATATATATATATATATATATATATATATTGATCTGGGAATTTAACTATATTGTCGACATGGGAAAAGAATACCTTACTGTAAAGGTAATTTACATTAACCAGAAAAAAAAAGGCTTTTTAAATTTGGATTTTTTAATGTAACTATAACAACAAAAACATTTCGATTTCATTTTTGCCTTGAAAATGTCGGAAGACGAAACGCGTCGGCAAAATCTAAGATTTTTTTCTAATTGTCATTTTATACCAATCTGTCTTGTCCACAGAATTGATCTGGGAATTTAACTATATACAGTGTAACCCGGATATAAGAGAGTGGTCGGGACCGGAGAAGAAGTCTCTTATATCCGGGTTTCTCTTATATCCGGGTTTGGTCTATTTTATATACATTAACACAGGCTCTAATTTGGGACCAGAGAAAATCTCTCTTATATCCGGGTTTCTCTTATATCCGGGTCTCTTATATCCGGGTTACACTGTATATATATATATATATATATATATGTATATACATACCTGAATGATTGGTTGTCACATGTAGACATTTTTCTTTACTCCAATATGGTGAGTTTACTAGTTTCCATTTAATCCAAATTATGTACATAGTTGAAGGAGATAATTCATCTAAATAAATATCGTTGCTCTTACTGTGTTTCTGCAAAATAAAATGAAAATTTAGCTATATTTTGTCATAGAAACTACTTAAATAAGTTGGTCCGCATGTAAAATAAATACCGTATATGTCCGCGTAAAAGACGACCTTTAAATCCCCCAAATCACCGTTTAAAATTGGGGGGTGGGGGCGTCTTATACAACAAACAAAAACTTTGAATTCTGAGTGGTGTTTGTTGATAGACTAACCTCGGACTCGGCGCGATAAGCAATAACGTAAATGAAAAGATTCACATTATCAAATAAATTGAAAATAAAAGTTATAAAACCATTTCTACCTTATGTATTACTTGCATAACTTAATAGTAAATTGCCTATTCGAAGAATAATTCCATATCAATGAAATCAACTTGTATTAATGCAAGCTCAGCAGAGAAAATGTAAAGATTGTGTTATGATTGTGTTCACAGCAACCTTTATCTTTCGTTAAACTGAATAAATCATGGTAATGGTAGTTACGGCATTAATAACATTTAGGATAACATAATATTTATTTCTCATGAGAAATTCATTATCATTTTGGTGTTAAATGATAACAGAATTTGGGATTAAAGAAGAAGAAGAAGAAGAAGAAGAAGAAGAAAAGGAGGAATAATAATAATAATAATAATAAGTATTCGCAAGAGATCACGTGATGAAACGTAAACAAAACAATGGTTTCCCTTTGTGTAGGAAAAACATGATATAGAATCGGTTTTGTTATTTCGTTTATTTTGAATTTCTAAGGATACAATAATTTCCAATTACACCATCTTTATATAATCAACAAGCAGTCGTTTTATATTACTGGTATAGAATAAATCCATGAAAATTTGCTATATTATTTATCTTATCTCAAGGTCGTCTTATACGCGGAAATATGCATTAGTTGAAAGATTTTTGGGTAATAATTCTTGTAGGTTGACATTCTCCAAGCCTTCCTCAACCAATGACATTTCTCAGAATCGATAAATACTGATTTTTATCATTTTAGAAGTGCCGTCCTGTTCATAATACGTGGTGCGGCAGAAATACCTCCCACACAATAAGACATTAATCTTAACATTATATAGAATGAATATGTGGAAGGTATTTCTGCCACACCCTGTATAAATACAGTGTCAAGTTAATCCCTGACTTCTTAAAGACGTATCTATACTTTGTTTTTACTTATAAATGTCAAGTTTGAAAAACTGTGCTTACATCCTTAATAACTGTGGGCTCCTGATATCCCTTTTCCCAATTTTAGTAGCACACAGTTATCAATGATCTAAGCACAGTTTCATTTGTAAATAAAAACAATGTACATATATATATATATATATATATATATATATATATATATATATATATATATATATATATATATAATGAATTTAAAAACTAAACTTCAAGATAATTATCGCTTCTAATTTGAAAAGGGTAAACTTCCTCGACGTAACTCTAGACTTACCAGGCAACACATACCAACCTTATAGTAAACCAAATGCTAACCCTTTATATATACACCCGGATTCAAACCACCCTCCATCCATAATTAAACATATACCCACGTCAATAGAAAATAGAATTAGCATTAACTCCGCTAACAAGGAAATATTCCAACAACACAATGGCTTCTATAACACTGCCCTAAAAAATAGTGGTTATAAAAATGCTAACATTAACTATAGAGACGATTGCACTGGCAATAAGCAAAAAACAGGAAAAGAAAAATCATTTGGTATACCCCTCCGTTCAACCAAATGGTTAGTATTAAACTAGGACAGAAATTCTTAGCTCTAATTGATAAACACTTCCCCACCAATAGTAAGCTTAGTAATATATTCAATAAGAACACCCTAAAATTGAGTTACAGTTGCTCTGAAAATCTTGAACGTATAATAAAAAAACACAATAATAAGATCTTGAACAGACCCCCATACCTGAATAGTATTAATAAAAACCTTGCACTTAAATCAGACAATAAAAGGGAAAAATTGTGTAATTGTAGAAACCTAGAAGACTGCCCATTAGAAAATAAATGCTGCATTAAATCTGTGGTATACTATGTACTATATCATCCACTGAGAGTCCTAGCACTAATATGATATACATTGGGTCCATGAAGAATGATTTTAAAGATAGATGGAGGCAGCATAAGTGCTCTTTCAATAATATAAACAAAAGAAATCAGACTTCCCTATCTAAATATTTTTGGCATCTGAAGGAAACAAATAGGACACCAAAAGTTAAATGGAAAATTATAAGCAGGGCTAGAACATGTAAAACTTGGGATGACCCATGCCCTTTGTGCCTCCGTGAGAAATTGCATATTATTAAGTTTCTAAATAATAATAATCTATTAAACAATAGACATGAGTTAACGGTTTTTTGTCGACATCATCAGATTCATGGTTTGAATAATTAGCTAAAAACAAGCATACAATATAATAACTTGATTAATCCATAGCCCAATCATCAGATTCATGGTTTGAATAATTAGCTAAGAACAAGCATACAATATAATAACTTTCATAATCCATAGCCCAAATAAATAGTTTAAATACCCTACAAAAAAGATAACCCTTTATGAAGTCGTCAAAAAACAAACGTTACGGCAGTTTTTTTTATATGCGCAAATCCCTTTCATAAATAAATAAATAAATAAATCTGCATAGACACGCATACCAGACTAGGGTTAAGACATCTTCCGTTTCAAATTTAGACACCTCCACCTTTCACTGACTTGACATCTATGAAAATAACTCTATACTGATACTTATTATTAACACTCAACACACGCCTACCCAATTTAAACAATTCGCCCTAGCTGTTACCATGGAAATTTTGATTTCAATTATTAAAATACGTAAATTTCAGAAATACGTTATTCCAAAAAAAAAATTTTGCTTGAAGATGGAACAGAGCTTACTTTAACTCAATTTAATTCAAATAATTATATTGAAGTTTCGGCTCTTGTTTTGAAACATGAGACCTCTTATGTCGCGAGTTGGAATCATATTTTTTAAATAAATAATTATATATATATATATATATTATATATATATATATATATATATATATATATATATATATATATTTAAAACATTTATTTTTATACATAAATATGTTATAAAATCACTACAAAAATAGCCATTTGTTTCCAACACCTCCGGTGTCTTATCAAGTGATGATGAACATTATCATGATAAGACACCGGAGGTGTTTCTAAAAATGGCTATTTTTGTATTATTTTAAATTTTTATAAATAATTATATCTGCTCTAATTATATCTAAGCACTCTTTTAAGAATAGTAATTGTTGGTTATTGGAATTCATTCCGTATACACCAATTATATAATTGTATATATATATATATATATATATATATATATATATATATATATATATATATACCGAATCTCTGGTTATCCCTTATATTGTGGATACTTGTCTTCCAAAAAAAAAAAAAAAAAGAAAGAAAGAAAGAAAGAAAGAAAGAAAGAAAGAAAGAAAGAAAAGAAAATGAAAAAAAAAACACCATAGCTACAACGTTTAATTTTAAAATAACTATAGCAGAGCGCGTTCACGCGTGTTTTTAAAAATCACCATCACAGGGATTACGGTTACAATAAGTTTGTCTTCGGAATTCACCCCTGAGGATGAGCTTGGAGGAGATCGAAAGTACTTGGGTAGGAAAAAACTACGGCGCCTTCCTTGATGAATTTCAAATTAACATCAGCAAGCTAATTAGAGAACTATAAAGGATTATTATAAATCAAAAAGACATCATATGTCTATATTATTCAATGAAATATGCTTCAATGAAATGACCAAATATACATACATACATAAGTACGCACACACACACACACGCACACACACACACACACATATATATATAATTTCTAAAATTCACTCCTCTTAATATTAATTATTTTTAGAACTGTGGTAGAGAGACAATGGAGGTGAAGTGTGCAGATATGGATAAAAACAAAGTACAGATAACTTTCAAAAATTTAAGGATCGATTTAACATTGCACTTATATTATGACCATGTCTCCCCCACTTTTAAAATGATTTTTAAAAAAATCGATATTTTTTATGACAAATGTCATATGTGAGGTAAATTCTATTGATTGATAAATAAATCTTTTTTTATGAGTGTACCACTAGTGTATTTACTGCCATATAATAGGACTGATATTACGTAACAGATTCAATACTCTTTTCTTTGTCATAAACGAAATTTTCCCCATTACTTAATATTCTTTTTAGATTTTGGAATGCATCTTTGGCTATCCCAAATCTCCTTTGGATCTTTAAATTACATTTCTTATTGGCTATTAATTTGCACTCATCGTTACTAACTCGTACACATCACAATTAAGACAAAGTTTGGTAGAATAATCAGTTACTAACCGTTTTGTTGTGGATTGGCTGATTGCTAACGGAATATTTTACATAACAAATCGTTGGACGTTGGATCAGAGGATGTTTCCATTTAATGTAAATTTTGGAATCGGTTGTTTCGATTTTTGTAATATTCACCGGACTAAGTTCAACTGAAGTAAAGAAAATACATGAGAAACAATTCGCAAATATCCTAGACTATATTTTACTAAATAAGCATTGTTTATATTTACACTTATTTAGGTTCCTGTAAAGAAAAGCAATACCTACGGTTTAAAATGTATTTTTAAATGAAAAATCTTTCTTGAAGCTTTTGTTTTAGTTTAAATTCCAAGTTAATAGATTAAATTAAATTTAATATTTCCAATAAGCAAGATACTTTCTTGTATTTCAAAAGTCAAAACAAATTTAAATTGACTAGAAAGAATTTTCGTTTTGAAATTGCTAAATATCCCTCATTTTAACACCATTTTATTTTTTCGATTTGCCAACATACGTACTGGGTTGAGGCCTCCTGAGTGCTCTCGAGGTACTTAAATAAATAATGAATTTTAAAACATTTTAGTAGATGCCTCCAAGAAAAAAAAGAAACACCTAATTATTAGAATGATTTTTAAAAAATGAAATATCTTACTTGAAGCTTTTATTTTACTTTTAATTTCATGCTAATAGATTAAATGTAATATTTCCAATAAGCAAAATACTTTGTTGTATTTCAAACCAAATTTAAATTGATTGGAATTATATTTTTTTTATTGTCAGCAAAAATGATAAATTCGCCTATGTTTACAAATCTATCAACAAAGAAATTCTCTTTATTAAAAAAAAAACTTTCAAAAATAAGATATACTTTTCTGAAACTTTATTTGAGAAATATTAGTTGATTTAAAGTTTAATTAATCTGAACTTAAACAATTATTACTTACTTCGAGTTTAAAATATCACAGAAAAGCGTTTTTAATACGGATATGGGTATTTTTTAGTAAGGTGTCTCAAAAGACTTAAGTTTGACAATTTTATCTAAGTTGGGCATGACACTAAAATTAAATGACGAATATAAGTTGAACACCTATTTTATATATTTTTTTAATTACCCAGCAATCTTAAAAAAATAGGAAATTATTCTAAGTAATCTAATGTTTTATTGAATTTTAGGTACTGTGACTTTATAGTCTTACTAATGAAGACACTTGTTGATAAGATGTTAGAAAATTACCCATAAATTTTAAATTTACTATAGTTACCATTCTTATTTTCTGATAATGGTGTGTATTAGCACCCGTGTTTAAGAAATCGGCACGCTTACACACACACACACACACACACACACACAAAATTCTTTTTAAAATACTGAAAGTCGCTGAATTGTAGTAAGCTTTTCCATTTATGATTAATAAATACAGTTTTTACTTTATAACGATGCCACATAACCGCTACAAATTAATAGGGAATTTTAAGATTTCAAACTTTCTAAATTATTCTAATTAAAATTTTCACATAATTAAAACAATTCTCGTAAAGATTCATTATTCATGAAAAAATGTTTTTCTTAAGGGAATAGTGTCCATTTTATATTTTATTTATAAAAGCAATTCAAATATTTTCTAATTAAATAATGTCTTAGTTTTATTGCCTTTTTTTATTTTACGATATACTGCATATTTTCTGTAACTAGGGATTCTGTTCGTCACAAAAAAAAATGATGATTTAAAGACTCCAAGGGCTTGTGCTTAAGACTAATATTTTATAAACAGTAAGCTCTACAAAAATGAATTTCTCGAAATTTCATAAAACTAAAAAAGGTGTGGGATAACAAATGTAAAACGTTTAACCAAGAAATTCTAAAAAAGAAGTTTTTCTGAAATAATCCAATTAATTTGTGAATAAATACTGAAAGTTTCATTAAAATCCGGTAATTATTTGATATCTGCAAGAATTTACATATCAATGTGTTTTTCACCGCAACAAGACACTAAAGTTTTCTGTACTAATTTATGGCCTGTCGTTGACGGAAGAAAAGCATTTGTAACAAAAGTTTTTAAGGTTCAAAATAGAATTAAAAAATATAATTTAATGAACAAAAACTCCCTTTGTCTTTCCTCTTAATAATACAGTGTAACCCGGATATAAGAGAGTTGTCGGGTCCGGAGACGAAGTCTCTTATATCCGGGTTTCTCTTATATCCGGGTCTCTTATATCCGGGTTACACTGTAACATAATGATTTTGACAATAAAATTTGGTTTTTATTAAGTTTTACTAACTTTTTTCATCATGTATGCTCATCTTTTAGCGAATCTTTGAAGGTGCATACTTTTATTCCTTTAAAAGTTTTGTTGGAGTAATGGATAGCGGCTCGGATTGAGGAATTGGAGAGCCGAGTTCAAATTCTAGTCAAATCCATTACATTCACTTACGTGCTAATACCCTTGGGAAAGGTATTAATCCTCTTCTTCTCCCCACTCTCCCAGCTTTGATTTGTTTGTTTGTTTGTTTAAAACTTAACGACCCATCGATCAGCAAGAGATCATTTAAGGTCAAACAGTTCGATGTTGTCTTGCTTTTTGTTTTTAAAAATTCACTGTTTTCAGAGGTGCGTTGTTCTTTGAAAATTTCTCACCTGGCAAGTATCAAAGTTCACCCTTTTATCATCAGACACCAAATTGGAATTATATTTTATTATATAGTCCAACTTTCCTAAGAACGGTCATGATCAAATTGGGGTTTGATTTTTTCGAAAAAGTTCTTTCAAGTTGTTCACGTTGTAAAATAATTTTTCGAATATGTGCCATGTCACCGCAATCAAGCAGGAAGTGCTTCATTATAGTATAAGCCTCCTGGCATGCTATGCATTCAGGAGGATCTTCGTCTTTTAGGAGGAGGGAGTGAGTTCCAAAGAACCCGGTCTGTCCTGCTATTTACTCATAGAAAGAAATGGCATTTACTCTATGCTATTTACTCCAGAAAGAAATGGCAACTTACTGCGGGAAGAAAATCTGCTTCGTCAGTCATGTATCGAAAGATAAATGATCGCCTAAGCATGTATCACGTATGGCACATAACTGACTGTTAGCGATACAGATAGAACACTCAGGGAATGACGCTGGTTAGCTAGAATGAAGTTGTAAAAAAAATGGCAGGTTCTCTGTATGGCATTATGATGCCTTCTTCCGTGTTTACAAGAATATGGTGTTTTGTTGGCATATCTGGCCTGATTACTCATTCCTCACTTTGCAGCCTTGACAGGGTTCAAAATCATTTAGGCGATCTTGTCGAGGTAGACATTTTTCCATTTTGCAGTCCCTTTCTCACAGACACAAAATAGTAAGCCTGTCACTACTCTATCACTTTTTCCCTGGCAAATGTTCAGATGAGCGCCCCATTCTTTAGTTCCACGATTTCAGACCCTTACTGATACGACACCCTGTGCTACTTTCACGGAAGCATCACTTTTATTTCTCCATATTCCAAATGAAAGAAGGACTTTCCATTCAAACAGCTTTTTTACCCGAACTACCACTTTGTGAAAAAGACTCCTGTGTGAGTGCTTCCCAAGAATTTGATCGCTTCCAGTCAAGTTTCAATCCTTATCTATCCTTCTTATCCATATAATCTCCGGCTTATTGTCAAAACAATGGTTCAAGTAGGATCAGCGAAGTTAAACAATCATTATTACCATTTTCTTTAATACTCTACTTTGAATGAGTCTCTAGCCTTGTACTGGGTGAAATTTAATAAAAAGAAATTAAACACCTTATATTTTAAGTCTATTTTTGGTTTTTATTTTTAATTTATTGTTTTATTCATAGACTGATTTACTTGATATGGTCTTTCTTTAAAGATGTCACCTGTCCTAAGCTGATGTGCACAAATTAGTTTGATTTCTTCATTGTTAATCTTTATAAAGAATTTGAAATTCCCAGTACTTACCAATTTGTTCAGGCATAAATGTAATGATGTCGGATTTGATAGTTCCAGTTTTATATCTGCCAACAATCTGGATACATTTCTTACAGTAGATTCTAAAGGCTGATTCACTCGTTTTATTCCAGATCACAATGTTGTCCTGATTCTGATTCAAGTTCAGACGCCTAGAAAATATGCTAAATTGACATCACATATTAGTGCATATAATTACAAGTCACTACTTCACTAACTATAAAAAATGATATTATATCTCTATGAACACTACTAGTGTAAATAAACTACAATTGTTGGATATAAGAGAGTTGTCTGGACCGGATATATCAGGTTTTCTTATATCCGTTTGGTTTTATTTTATATGGACACGGCTCTAATTTGAAGAAAATCTCTTATATCCGGGTTTCTCTTATATCTGGGTCTCTTATATCCGGGTTACACTGTATAAAGTAATGGAAATCAAGATGAAAGAAATATTAATAAAAAATAAATAATGGTTCATAAAAATTCAAGATTATATTACTACTCAGTTATGTACCATACGTGATACATGCTTAGGCGATCATGTATCTTTCGATACATAAATGACGAGGCAGATTTTCCCGCAGTAGGTTGCCATTTCTTTCTATGGTAGACCAGTTGTTATCCAAGGCAATAGAAACCGCTATTTACCCATAGGTGGGGGGAGAAGTGGATTCATACATTTCCCAAGGGTATTAGCACGTAAGAGAATGTAACGGATTCGACTGGATTTCGAACTCGGCTCTCCGATTCTTCAATCCAAGCCGCTAACCATTTACTCCGCCGTGCATTCTCTACTTACTACTATTACTATGAATACTACTAATGGAAATAAAGCAATGAAAAGAAATACTAGTCAAAAGTTAGTAATGTTTGACAATTATTCATTTGATAGAATTTCAAGATAATATAGCTACTACTATGTTGTGGATTCCGAGATGAATTCGGTCTCCAAGGAATGACAAAGGCAATAATTAAATATAAGAAATAAAATGTATTTACACGATCATACAAAGAGTAATACTGTTAGTAAGTCCAGGAACGAGGTTAGTAGCAAATACAGATAGATATATACAGTCTCGAAGTAGGACTTCCTTAGAGTCTACGTGCTTGTAACTGACTTCTACAAGAGGTTACCTCACTCTATCCGACGGCCGACTACATCCGACTACCAACTGTAACTGGGTATTTAACAGCAGCCGTTCAGGTACACTTGGTAGAGTTCATTTATGAAAAAGGGGTGAACCCCATAATATACTAATAATTTTTTTTCTTTTTACGTGCCATGTCCTTTCAGGACATAGGCGATTATGGCTCTCCACCTCCTTCTATCCCTTGAAGCTCCTAACAAGTTCCTTTCTTCTGCCATCTCCTCTAGACCACGTTCTGCTATGCACTTGCTCAAGCCTGCTAGGTATGTCCTGCATTGTTTTCCTTTGTCTCTCTTTCCCTCTATTCGATCCGTGAGTATCAGATTCTCCAGGCCCTCCTTCCTCATTATGTGCCCCAGTAACTTCAGCTGCCTCTTCCTGATGTTAAGTATAAGCCTCCTCCTTGTATGCATCCTCTCTAAGACCTCATCGTTGCTCACACGCTCGGTCCATGATATCCTTAGCATCCTTTTGTAGAACCACATCTCCGTCGCCTCGAGTTTCTTCTTCATCTTCGAGGAAATCTTCCAACATTCGCTGCCGTAAAGAAAAATAAATGTCATGTAACAGCTCAATATTCTTTTCTTTGTTACCAAAGAAATCCTCCAGTCTCGCAATACTCTGCCCAGCTTTTGGAATGCGTTAGTCGAAAGATAAAGCATTAAAATGAAAGAACTGCTAGCCGAAAATGAATTTTGGCTTACAATGCTTCATTTAATAAAAATCTAAGATAATATTGCTGCTACCAATATTACTAGCTGGAATAAAATAACTGAAATTAAGATGAAAGAAATCTTCTTCATGTGCCGTGTCCCCTCAGGACGTAGGCAGTAATGACTCTCCACAACTTCCTCTCCTTTGTAGCTCTTAATAAACAGTCTTTCTGTTATTTCTTTTAAGCCCTCTTTCGCCATCCATTTACTCAAGCTCACTAAGTATGCTATGCATTGTTTTCCTCTGTCCCATGAGTATCTGATTTTCTAAGCCGTCCTTCCTCATTATATGCCTTCAAAACCTCAACTGTCTCTTCCTAAGGTTAATTATTAGTTCTCTTTTAGCTTCCATTTTCTCCAAAACTTCGTCGTTACTCACATGTTTGGTCACAGTATCCTCGGCATCCTTTTGTTGAACCACATTTCTGTTGCTTCAAGTCGCCTCTTCATCTTTGAGGAGATCGTCCTGCACTCACTGCCATAGAGGAGGACAGATATCGCAGTTTAGTACTCTTTTCTTTGTTTCTTGCGAAATTCTTCTATTTCTTAGTACTCTGCTTAGCTTTTCCGATATACCTTCGAAGCTCAGTGTCGCTCTTTCTGTCCTCTGTTAAAAAACACTTCCAGATATGTAAATTTCTGCACTTGCTAGATTTTGGTATTTCAGATATAAAATTCGCACTTTGGGCTCATCCTATTGCTAACACATATATTTTGTCTTCTTGCAGTCGATGTTGAATCTTTTCTTCTCGCTTTCATTCACTACCTTCTGTTTGGTTTAGTTTGGTTTGTTTTACGGCATATCAACCTCTGGCTATTTAATGCGGACAAGTTTTTTTTTGCTGGTAATGAACTCTCCTTCTTGGTACCTCGTCCATAAGAACTTAAGTGTACTACTAGATTGCCAACTAGATCTCATCGTTTTACTTTTCAAATAGCTAGATTTAATCGTAAGTTCTATTCTAATAGTTTCTTTTTCTCGCACATCTCACTTGTGGAACTCTCTTCTGGTTTCTTACTTTCCTTCCACTTACGATCTTCAACGTCAGTCACCATCTTCTGTCTTCCTGAAGTACGAGACACCTACCAAAAGATTTTAATACTTTCATATATATATATATATATATATATATATATATATATTATTATTATTATTAGTAGTAGTAGTTGTTTAGTAGTAATCTTATAAGTATAAGAAACAATACTCGTTCGGAAAACCTCCGGGTCTTGATTTGCAAATAATCAAACCAATACCAAAAGGAAAAAAAAAATGGTATAAAAATGAAAGAACCAAGAACATGTTCGTTAGCCGAAAATAATCGTCCAGCATTCAAGTTCAAAGCCCAAAGAAAAAAACCCGATACGAGTACGCAAAATAACAAATAAGTGCTCAATACAATGAGTAGAGCAGAGCTAGTTAAACCTAGAGAGCCAGACAAACCTATCACGGTTTCACCTTAGACTTTTCTTTGGATTTTGTCGAGAATCTTGAGAGATATATCAGGAAAACAAGACTAGATATAGCAACGATATTCAATGCACGGATGAATGGTAGATTTATAGATTTGAAAGCGGGATTATTACAAGAAAATTGTCTGGTATGGCACAGTGAACCAACTTTCTTAGCTATCAGTAGACCTAGCAATTGATTCCATATAATCATCCCAGGAAATATTGGACTGAATATACTTTTACTATATATATATATATATATATATATATATATATATATATAGAGAGAGAGAGAGAGAGAGAGAGAGAGAGAAATAGATAGATGTATATACATATATAACGACTTTTTAACTTTGATTCCACTTGATGTTTTCTGTTGTATGTTTCCCTTTTACAATTCATTCAGCAGTTCCTTTTTCTATACACTTCATTTTCTTCTGTTACTTTTTACTTTACCCGGACACAGTACCTTGTTCCATATATTTAACTACACCCCGTCTTGCCATCTCATAACGACTTGATGTAAAATTTGTTACAACTATTTCTAAAACAATAAAGCATTTAGTTAATACAAAACAAACTTATACTATCTACGCTTGTCAAAGATAGATGCGAATCTTGTTAAATTGCACAAGATAATATAGTTAAATTTAAGTTAAGTTTGGATGTTCGACCAAAGAATCGTTTGTGTCGGCTTAGGGTATGAGTTTTTTTGTCTGAACTTCTGGGATGAGTGTAAAGAGAATAATAAATGTATTACCATTTCCGTTGACAGCGATATCCATAACGAAGACTCCATTTACTTCTAGATGAGGAATGAAGTCGGTTCCAGCTGCACACCATCTTAATAAAGTCAAAAATTTTACAAGAAATATTCTTGGGTTTCTCTGGTACACCTTTAAAGAAACAATAAACCATTCAAACAAATCTGAATATATATATATATATATATATATATATATATATATATATATATATATATATATATATATATATATATATATTATATATTGTTGTGTAGAAATAAAAACACAAGACACGAATTGAGTTAAACAAATATATTAACAGAAAACAGTAATTCAAACATCTACAAACGACTGTCAGAGTTGCTGGAAACTTCACTCTTCAAAAAGGCAGTACCTGCTCCTATTTATAGTTGAGAAAGTCCATGCGTTCGTGGGTAAATTACCACCATATATATATATATATATATATATATATATATATATATATATATATATATATATATATATATATATATATATATTCAGACAGGTTTCGTTAAATATTTTAGACACGTTCTGTTGACTTATTTTCCATAAGATCCTTTCATATTCATGAATAAGCGATTGTTAAAAGACCAGAGGAACAAACTGTTTTTAGTATACAAAACTGTCAAAATTTGGATATTCTTTTTATTCAAAGATGATTTTATATATATATATATATATATATATATATATATATATATATATATATATGTATATATGTGTGTGTGTGTGTGTGTGTGTGTGTGTGTGTGTGTGTGTGTTTAAATATAAATTAAATAAAAAGTATTAGCAACCATATATGCATGCGATTACGTTCATATACAGATTTGCAAATAAATGCTTATTTAATATTTGGTGTAATCAAAACAGTACTCAATCTATAGTAAGAGAGCAATAAAGTATATAATTAACTATATACATTACCTATGTCAGTTGTACGACTCAGAGTTACATGTCTTTACCATCGTCATGTACTAATAGTTATATACGGTTGTTTTCAAAAATTCTGGGTCTTATGGGAGCACTGTTATAATGTATATTAATTCATATATATATTGATAAAGAGTTAATTTCCAACTATTCTAGTGGCATAATCAGAGTCCTGACCTTAACCCAATTGAAAACCTTTATAAGATAATGGACAAACGTGCACGCAATAGGAAAGTTAACACAGACGATGACTTTTTTCAAGAATTAAAGGAGTGCTGGAAAAATCTGGCGAAGGACATTGACTTACTAGATAATTTAGTCTATCGCATGCCACGAAGAATTAAGGTCGTTATTAGAGCAAAAGGTTACCCAACAAAATACTATATCATTTTTTACTTGTATAGTGTACATATGTACCCTGTATTAATAAACAAATTCTATTGCTTACTTGCCTTGGCAAAAATACAAAAATCAATTTTTTGTAGGTGCGTCCATTTTTTTTTTTTTTTGCCTCGTGCTGTATATATTCAAACATATATTGTTAAATATAACAGACAACGAATATCTATTATGTTTGATCATGAGCCGTTCCAAACTTCGTATAGTTGCTTTAATTTCGGGAGAAAATAAAGACGAAACTGTCCAGCATTTGGATATTTTTTTATTATGCTGTTCCTTGATCCAAGCTTTCGGCTCACATGAGCCATCTTCAAGGACATTTAAATAAAGACATTCACCATCAAAGATGATATTCTGTTATGTTAACATAGAAGATTGCTATGCGACGATAACAATAAAGCTTAGATCAAACATAACTTTTTTTATAACCGAATAAAATTAATTTGTTAAGGATTAAAACCTTAACCAGTGAATTTTTTTTATTTTAAATAAAGTAAATCGTAAATAAATTTATTTTTAATAAAGTAAAAATATTCACTAAAGTTTTAATCCTTAATAAATTACTTTTATTCGGTTATAAAAAAAAAGTTATTTTTCTGGTGCTGAATTGTCTCGGTCCTGAGTTGTCCCGGCGATCAGTCGGCGGTATTGAGTTGTCCTGCACCCCTCGCTGTGGACTTATTCCATTATTAACTTAAGAATTAAAGATTCATCATAAATTTCAAATATGAAAACTATGAAATTTTTACCGGGTAAACTAGTATATCTATTTATTACTTACCAATGTTTGAAGGTAATAAAAAATTCACTGTAAAAAACACAGCACATGCAAAACCTGTTTTCATCCTTATTTTCACGTCAAGGTTGTTTTCTTGAAAAGAAATAGAAAAGTTTTTAGTTTTTAATGAGTCATTTATTAATATGCACACAGCCACACTCACGAAACAAATACAGAAAGCACCAGAACGCACAAAAAAGACGGTGTATACAAATTTTATTGCATAACAATACTATATTGCTCTCTATTAATCACCAGAGAGATCCTTCCCTGCCCTCCATTAGAATGTCTGACGCTCAACTTCTCGAGAGCAACTCTCTGCGGCTGCTCGGTCTCACGTTGACTGCTGACCTCAGATGGAACAAATACATTGAGTCAATTGCTTCGTTCACCGCAAGGAAAGTTGGCTCCCTGTGTCGCGTCAGGAATTTTTTCTCCCCGGAATCGATCATTCAGATCTACAAATCAACAATTCGCCCTTGCATGGAGTATTGCTGCCATATATGGTCTGGTGCCCCTTCTGTTTGCCTCGGGGTTCTTGATAAGCTCCAGAGGCGGATATGCAATATAATTGGCCGTGTTCTGGCATCTCGTCTACAGTCGGTCTCTCACAGACGCGCCGTCGCCTCTCTCTGTCTTTTTTACAAATACTTTCATGGTAATTGCTCCGATGAGCTGCTTTCGCTGGTCCCCAGACTTCATGAATTCAAGCGTCCTACGAGGCTGGCATCCCGCTCTCAACCTTTCACTGTTGAAAGTATTAAATGTCGTCGTCTCTTCTACTCCAATAGCTTCATATCTCGCACCTCTCGCCTGTGGAACTCCCTTCCCTATTCCTGTTTCCCTGGGAGCTATAATCTCCATCTATTCAAATGTAATGTCAATCGACATCTCCAGTTGCCTTGATCTATCCACAATCCTTTTCCTCATCCTTTCTACTATCACTCCTATCTGAACTTGCTCCAAATCTTCTGTAACCCCTTGCGTCCTAGTGGCTTCCCGCCTTGCTTGGGGTGAATCGATTAAAAAATAATCTCCTGCTTCTTGGTCAACCTTTATTCAAGTTAATATCACAAAATAAAATGTGTGCGTGTTTTTTTTTTCTAGTGTGGGTTAAATCAGGCTAATCAAATATGTTTAAGATACGTAGGTGTTGGCTAAATCAATTTCTTTATAGTCCCGTGTTTAAAGATAAACTTCATCCGGCAGCAAGGCCTCCGTTCGAGAGATTGGAGATTATGAGGAGCGTGGAATCAGGTCTTAATTGTTGTTGTTCCCAGGTATACCCTGACCCGAGGTGGTAGCACCTGTTAGAATCCCAGCTATAGGCAAAAAGTTAACCCGCCGCCAAAAAAAAAAAACACTATTAAAGTATAAAAATACATTTTCACAGTAAAAATACAAGCAATATATTTTTATATAAAAAAATTACCAGCAGTATATATTTATAGTAGAATTACTAATGCATTAATTAATATAATAAATAAATCAAACTATATTCCGAAATATAACTTCAACAAAACTACAACATAAAACACACACATCACCACCTCTTGTAATTATGACCATACAAACATGTATATACACAAAAACAAGTATCATCTACCATGTATTCAACTGTGAAAGCAGAATAACATATATCTTATTTTCGACTGATACAAGGACACAAGTATCGTGGCTTATGGTTACATCAGACTGGTTCCCGTAAAATATCCCAAAGTTAAGCAACGACTAAATATTTTAGCTAAACAATCTAGTCCTAGGTATGACGATAAACTACATCTGGCAGCAAGGACTCTGGTCAGAAGATTGGAGGTTTTGAAAAGCATGGAACAACCTCTTAATTGCTGTTGTTCTCAGGTCCACCCTGGCCGGGGTGGTAACACCTGTTAGGGTCCCAGCTACGGGCAAATAGTTAACCCTCAAACTGTGGTCAAAGCACTATGAAAGTATAAAAATGCATTTTTATAGTAAAAATACCAACAATACATTTATATATAAAAAAGTACCAGCAATACATTTTATCTGTAGTTGAAGACTGTAAGCGTTTCAATTATTTAAATTTCGATATTAAATAACCCATAGAGGTGTTGATATGCAGCTAAACAAAACCAACCAACCAACCAACCAACCAACCAGCCAACCAAACAAACAAACAAACAAACAGGAAAAACTCTTTCATTGCCTTAATCTATATAATATCCGACAATTTCTTAAAGAAATCAAACTGTATTCGAAAATATAACTTCAACAAAACAGCATAAAACACACATCACTACCTCTAGTAATTATGTCCACACAAACATGTATATGCACAAAAACTGAGTATTATCTACCATATATTTAACTGTGAAAGCAGAATAACATATATCAGGTTTTTATTACATCAAAGCTCCCAAGAAAATTAAATTTCGGAATTAAATGACACATAAGGATGTTGATGTGCCGCTAAACAAACAAATCAAAACAATCAATTAAATGTTTAAAATGTGGTGGTGGTGGGGGTGGGGGTGCTGAATCAGATATTAAATTTTTAAGATTTCTAGACAGTGTGGCGGCTATCATATATGCTGAAAAGTATGGATTAAATCCGATAGACTGATGGAACAAGTATGAAAATGCATAGAAATTTAATAGTTTCATCAGATCTATTTTAGGAAATGAGGCCATACGCTAAATGATCCGTATTTCAAATTCATTGTTAGTTAGATCTCGAGTGACTGCTGTACTTTGTGGCGTTGGTAGGTATGTATGTATGTGTGTGTTTCAATTCTAGTGGACCTTTTTTCTGACTCGTAGTGTGTGTGTGCGCACATAATTCCTGAGAACGGTAGTGGGAAGGAATAAGAAAGTGTGTGTGTGTGTGTGTGTGTGTGATAAATATTTTTTCATTTCTTCACACTCCCTCTTTCCGTTGAAGAACGCAAACATCAGTTCAGTTATGTGCCATGCTTGATACATGCTTAGGCGATCATGTATCTTTCGATACATGACTGACGAGGCAAATTTTTTCCCGCAGTAGGCTGCCATTTCTTTCTGCGGTAGACCAGTTGCCATCCAAGGCTATAGAACCCGGTATGTCTTGCTATAATATTCTCATAGCTGGTGAGGAAAGAAGATTCATACCTTTCCAAAATTATCACATAAGTGAATGGATTCGACTGAAACTCGAAGTCAGCTCTCAGATTCCGCAATTCGAGCCGCTATCCATAACTACACGGTATCAAATTTATAGACGTTTTCCTGCTTGTTATGTGTGTGTGTGTGTGTGTGCGCGCGTGTATGTGTGTGTGTGAAAAGTGTGTGTATATAAATATAAATAAATATATATATATATATATATAATTATTTATATATTATATGCGCGGTACTTATTAGAAAGCGCTCAATATCAGAGATATTGGTTGGATTGATGTGAGTTTAGTGACCCTGGGTTTCATGCTTTTGCGATCATCAGACAATTTGTTTTATCTGACGATCGCAAAAAAGCGTGAAACCCAGGGTCACAAAACTCACATCAATCTAACCAAATATATATATATATATATATATATATATATATATATATATATATAAATTGTGTTTTGGATAGCAATTCCTTTTATACAAGTTTCATTTAAAAATACGACTGACAAGGTATTGCGGTTAGGTTTTTCTTGTGTTCTTATAATTTTCTTCTTTTATGGACATAAATTATCTAGAAATTATCCAAATGTTCTGTACCTCAATTTATATTGTAGGTGTAGCGGACCTAAAAACCGATTGGTCGGAAAATACGTTTTTCTTTTCTTTTTTCTTTTTACTCCCTACTCATTTTACTTGTCGCGAGAGCTTATCTCAATTGAGTGCAAATTTTAGCTTACAACTACGCCCCTGCCCAACATTAACGACAGCTAATTTGGGGGAACTAAAAGTTATTGCCATGGAAGAATGGAGCAAAGTACTTATCAGTGTGCATCGTGATCTTGTAAGGAACTATCAAAAAACGATTAAAAGCAACAATCAAGAATAAAGATCACACAACTGATTACTTAGGCAAGAAGGCCAATGATTTTGTCCTATGTTAAATTTTCTTTTGTGTCATTTTGTATTATTGTTTGAGATTAAAATAAAAACTTTGTTGTGGGTATGACTGTACATTTTCAAATCCTTTATTTCATCGTTTGTGAAAAAATGCACATGAAGCTTCAATGAGAATTTGAGGGATTACAGTTTTATTTGTTATTATGGAAGTGGGGTGAATAATTCTGCCCACAGATCTATATACGTTACAAACTAAACTAAGCAAACCTGACTATTAAAGGAAGACAAATTTTCGCAGCTTTAAATGTCATTTTGGTTTTTGTATTTTTTTTTTGCTTATGCTAAGTCTAAAAAAAACACGACATAAAATTCACTATTTTTTATCTATAATGTTGAATGTGTTAAATTTTTTCAACTTTTTAACAAGAAAAATCTCAAGTTGATGTTAAAAAGTGCCGCGAAACATTGTTGATAGATGGTATGTTCTATTGTGACATGCTTCTAATACTATTTATTCAAACGACTATGTCGTCCTCCTCCCCCTCATCATCATGATGCTATAGTTCTTCTTGTTCCTTCATCCCATAGCGCGTACATTACGCACAGCCAATGCCTCATTAATAATGAACTATTCCGTTTTGATCGTGAGGAAAAATGGAAAAGACATATAAGAAACGCTGTCTGGTTTCAGTGAGAAAAAGAAAGAATGCCAATTTCAAATATTTTCATTTGTACCCTCTTACTTTAAATAAGGACCCTCATATGATTATTATGATACTTTGTTAAAATTAAGGTCAAATATTTAACGATCTAATAGGGGAATTTCCACGGGTATTTTATAATTGTAGATCTCGCCAGTAGCTTATTAAATCATTATCTTAGGAATTATGACTCATCAAAAATTTTAAATAGCAAACCATGAATTTTTCACGGTTTCCATTCATTATTATTAGCAGTAATAGTAGTGGTAGTTCAAAATGAATTATTGTAGCACTGTAACAAAGTTGGTCGAAAGCAACTGATGTATTATACTAAAATATACTT